TCACGCTTTATCATGGGGTTTCATTTCTGTTGTCGGGTCATTGATAGGCGGTTCACAATGACACTTCAGCGGAGCTTCATGATTGCCAGTATCGATTTTTATGTAGTTAACTGAGAATGTTTGTGTTAATTCAACCAATAAGAATGGATACATTTTATTTCAATCCATCACCAACGACGACCAGGTTTCCCGAGGAAACCTGTGATCACGTGTTTCGGAAGCCAACTATATACTTTGCTGTGTTCAAAACTGTTTATCTTTCAACATTTCTCATGAGCTGTAATTCACTTAGTGCCTTACTTATTGCACTGCGTTCTGTGTACAGACACCTACTATACATAATTTAAACATCTGTCTCAATAGGCTACCACGTGGCAGTATCGCATAATCAAAATAAAACGTTGTTCCTGAAGACTGGCCGAGGTGACACTGAGACCCACAGTGGATAACCGCATGGGGCCTCAAACTTTCCGTTAAATTAGGAGGTGACCCACAGCTGGTGGCAATGTACCGCAAAAACTAAGCCCTATAGACAAGATTCAGACGCGGACTACTACCAACCCCCGTGTTAGTTGCAACTGTTCGAGTTGAGGAAAACGACAGATGGCGGTCGATTTGCGAATAGATCTGGCATACGATAGAGAGGTATAAATTCGTAACTTTCCATGTTGAACGAAGTGAGCTTCTGGGTGAAACTTATCGAAATTGCCACCTAAACCACATGACTTGGGGTTGTGAATCCGTGGTAATTTAAACGAATACGTATGCTTCATTTTCATCAAAGAGAGCAAGTTTCATCCGACCAGACATATGAAACCAAGTGAGCGGGTCATTGATTAATGATCAATGAGTACGATACCATATCGAATAGTTTTCAAAACAGCGTACCGTAATTGTAACTGACCTTGACCCTTTTACCTAGAGTAGCTACAAATCACTTGATCGCCTAGACAGTGAGCACTTTTTAATTAGATTACCTTTTATGACGTCCCCAAGAAGAAACTGTTTATCCGTATGCCATTCAAAGGAGACGCCATATCGGACCATGTCAACAGACGCTTAACGCGTGCAGTGAGTGGGACATTCAACTCAGCTCTTGTTGCCTGTGTATTTGCAAGCTCTCCCATTATCCGAAATTCCAATAAGGATGTGTTGCCAATGCTGGCCAACTCAATGGTAATCTATTTGTTCAGGTGCAAATGTAATGCAACCTACATTGGCCGAACGGCAAGGCAACTATCCCAAAGAATTAAGGAACACTGTCCACGATGGCTACAACATGGAGGAACAGGAACCATAGGGAGTGCCATTCTCGGACATCTGGTAGACTCAGGTCACAAAATAAGCACGGATTCCGCATTTAAAATCGTCTATCGAGTGCCCCCCAATCCCCACAAACACATCCGCTTACACACACTGGCCACCGCAGAGGCGATTAGCATCCGTCTTTTCGCACCTGCTCTGTGTACACAAAAGAAGTTCGTCCAAGCCCTCCAATTACCCTGGCCGCAAGTGGACCACCCCCACCTCAGTCACTCAGCTCCGAACCATGTGACCGTCACGACCTAGTCGTGCAGATCGACACGTCGATCTAACCCCAACCCGTCTCCCCCACAAACTACGTCCAATCCGAATGACCCTTGACCATTTAAGCACAACCATCTCCTATATGATTTGTAAAGACTTGAGAATGAATCATTGAAAACAATTGTTTGTCTCTGAAAACGTGTTCTGATGTCACAATGTGCATATTCCGGAATCTAAAGCATAACAAAGAGTACCTTTTATCGATTTAACCGATGCATCGGTGAACTTTGGGGTTTGTAACATCTATGTGTGGTAATTTTAATCCTTTCTGGTGACAGTAGTATGCAGAATAACAATTGGATGTTGGTTATATTATGGCTGTGCTGTTTATTCCAAGGTCTGCGAAGCGTTTGTTACATTCTTACTTACCAGTTGGGGGTGTGATTAGTTCCGGAAGCTAGACTTTTCAACATCACAAATATAATCTCCTGAGTGATCGTGCTTACCAAAGTTACTGTCCGTTCTTTTCCTTATTATTTAGCATCTAACTAGCTGAATGAAAGAAGTAAAGTAAAGAGGGAGCTTGAAATCCATCCAGTAAAGCATATATTAGTATACAATCAGTTGTGGCTTTGTACTATACAACTCGAGGATCTGATTCCGCTCGCTTTGGCCGGAGCTCACGTCAAAGGTGAGAGGTCATGAATACAGTGTCCAGAAGCGAACCGAGAACGGGGACAACTACCGATTTGCTGGTTTTATTTGTTGAAACCTACGAGGGACTCGGCTCAGGCTGAGTCCTTAAAAAAGATGGTTTGCATGGGAAATCGATTGATCAAAAAGGGTAGGATCGCCGAGTTTGACATTTAGATTGAAAATGTTTTATCACCAGTCAAGGTTCTACCTGTGCACTGAGGTAGTCAACTCTATCGGGGATGAAATTTTTACTAGCTAAACGCCAAGCTCAGTCAACGGGCGCTATTGTAAATCGGTCATAACTATGTCCTGATCTAGCTCTGTGTTCATAACATTTTCATGAACAAACAAGAACGGACAGGATTGATTACGTATTCCGTTTGTAATGCTTGAGAGTTCAACTTCCAGAATTTAGGAAAACCTAAACAAACTAATCATTGAGTTAGCCAACAGCATCAAACGTTCTCCTTGCCTACCATACCTGTGAAACACAGCGATTTTTTGGACATAGAATTTTAAGGCGTTTGTAGCTGAGCGCAGAATTAAGTAGAATTACGAGCGCTACAGTTAGCTTGACTTGCTGAATGAATAATTTATGTTTTGTTCCAGCATACAGAGAGTGCAAATCTTGAGAAGATGACTGTTAGTTGGATATTCGAAGGGGGTTATTGTTTGGATGCTTCGGTTTTATGTGTTCTAATAAACACCCAATAGGAAAGACGGTTTTATTGCAAACGAGATCCAGGAAAAAAATCATTAGCAAAGGAGGGGAAGAAAATCTGAAAATGGTAGAGATAAACAGCCATGTGACAATGAAAAATCAACTACGGGTTCCAAAGTACAGATATATTGGTGATTAGGTGAATGGTCTTATGATATACATAATCCAGAAAAGTAAATAGTGAAAAGGGATCCCCAACCCAAAGTTGAATATCCCCAGCCGGATTGGGGTTTGCTGGGCCTAAATCAGACTTGGGCTATCATTGTGATAGGACGAAGCACTTGGCGGGAAACGAGTACTGGCTCTTTCCGGGGGTTATTTCACTCAGTGAATAGTAAGTATTTGGATAGACTTAGGCACGGCTCAGCAGTAACCACGTTTCGATCTGAAATGCATTGCTTGCGCCAACCTCGAGATTGTGCTTGGAATTTTCATTTTCTTCCGTCTTCGAATCAATATGCCTTATTATCCCGTTCTTTTCCTGTAGGGTTCATTGTAACTAACAGGCGGGACGGCTAATTGCCTAGCAGTTGGTAATCCGGTCAGTGTAATCCGTATTCATGCCTAACAATAATAACTCGTACTAACTTGGTTCGTGAGATTGTTTACGGGATTTGCAATCACCATCAATCAGGCTGGTTAATTTTTACTCCATCGATGCTGTATCTGATTTATTCATTAGGTCCTAGTGAGTAAACAGAAAATAACGGGTTGCTATGCGAAGGTGATGGTCACGTGATTGGGCTGTATGGAATGTAGTTCCGGTATTTTAGCTCACGTGATCGCAGCATCTTTCTTTTGTGTGTAATTACACTTTTTCTTACCAAAGAAATGTTTAGAAGCTCCTTTAAGATCCACTGGCAATGCTAAGGTTGGTTGTTTATTCTATGCAGTCAGTGATGTGTTTATCATAGAGACTCTTCGAAAATGTGATACTTGGTAGTTTCTTTTGAATGCTGACAGGGAGTGGAACGGAGTTTCATTTGCGAAAAAAGGTCTCTTTGGTCCTTGAATGGAAGGTTATTTACTGAAATATGCAGGGTGGTTCACAACAGGATTTTACTTTGACTTGATGCGTTGGAGCACGCACATAATGGGCAACGTATTCCTACATAGGCGTCAGTCTTCCTCTTGGTGAATATTCTTGCCAAAAATTTATTTCGTGGTTGACTACTGAAAAGCAGTCAAATGAACTATAGTTTATAAAACTGTGGAAGCCACATGTCGTAGGTGGCAAGCTGACTGATTGTCCAAAAAATTATACTCATTCATTCATGTATCAAGAACATCTGCCCATCTGGTATGGACTTTCGGCTTTGAGACCCCCCCCCTCTGACGATGCTCTGATGTTTGTGGCAATAAGCACATCTAGGCCTCACCACCAACCAAGTACACTCACATCTGTGAAAAGTCACACCTTTCATGCAAGGGATAATTGGTGGTTATTCAGCGAATGCTACATTTTAAAAGTGGTGTGTATAATCAATAATAACATATAACAAACAGTGAATACTTGACGCGTTGATGAACAAAGTCGAAAAATCACAGGCGAATTATCCTTCTACATGTTTCTTATCATTATTTCCTTATTTCCAGTTGCTAGAGCGTGCTTGTTGCTAGAGCGTGCTTATTGCTATTCACAAAATTACATGGGAATTTCGCCTGCCATTACTTACCATTATTTTCTCTTTTATGGGCGGCATACGCTCAATAAATCTGCGTAAAATGGCTCAGGCCTACCGACAAGCTACTTGTGAGATAAGTGGTTCAACAGCAGTAGGCCTCCAAAATACCAGCTCATATCATTACCATCATCGTCATCCGAATAATAATCATCATCATCATCCTCAACCTCCGAATCAACAGCAAAATCAAAATCACCACCATCGTCATCATCATCATCATTATCACAAACATCATCCCGATGTAAAACATAGTCTTATTCAAAAAAATCATCATCAATTCCAGTTACTTGGCCGATTTAGCCATCATCTTCACCATCATCCTCCAGATCGTTATCATGACAACGATCCTCGGAATAATCATCATCTTCGTCCTAATCACCATGGTCGTAAACATCATGCACAAGATCCTGATCATGAAGATCGACAGCAGACTCACTGTCATCTTCATCCTTAACGTCAATACAGTCCCAAACTGAAGCATCATCATCAACAACAACTTCAATATCAACAACATCGTCATCATCATCATCATCATCATCATCATCATCATCATCATCATCATCATCATCATCATCATCATCATCATCATCATCATCATCATCATCATCATCATCATCATCATCATCATCATCATCATCATCATCATCATCATCATCATCATCATCATCATCATCATCATCATCATCATCATCATCATCATCATCATCATCATCATCATCATCATCATCATCATCATCATCATCATCATCATCATCATCATCATCATCATCATCATCATCATCATCATCATCATCATCATCATCATCATCATCATCATCATCATCATCATCATCATCATCATCATCATCATCATCATCATCATCATCATCATCATCATCATCATCATCATCATCATCATCATCATCATCATCATCATCATCATCATCATCATCATCATCATCATCATCATCATCATCATCATCATCATCATCATCATCATCATCATCATCATCATCATCATCATCATCATCATCATCATCATCATCATCATCATCATCATCATCATCATCATCATCATCATCATCATCATCATCATCATCATCATCATCATCATCATCATCATCATCATCATCATCATCATCATCATCATCATCATCATCATCATCATCATCATCATCATCATCATCATCATCATCATCATCATCATCATCATCATCATCATCATCATCATCATCATCATCATCATCATCATCATCATCATCATCATCATCATCATCATCATCATCATCATCATCATCATCATCATCATCATCATCATCATCATCATCATCATCATCATCATCATCATCATCATCATCATCATCATCATCATCATCATCATCATCATCATCATCATCATCATCATCATCATCATCATCATCATCATCATCATCATCATCATCATCATCATCATCATCATCATCATCATCATCATCATCATCATCATCATCATCATCATCATCATCATCATCATCATCATCATCATCATCATCATCATCATCATCATCATCATCATCATCATCATCATCATCATCATCATCATCATCATCATCATCATCATCATCATCATCATCATCATCATCATCATCATCATCATCATCATCATCATCATCATCATCATCATCATCATCATCATCATCATCATCATCATCATCATCATCATCATCATCATCATCATCATCATCATCATCATCATCATCATCATCATCATCATCATCATCATCATCATCATCATCATCATCATCATCATCATCATCATCATCATCATCATCATCATCATCATCATCATCATCATCATCATCATCATCATCATCATCATCATCATCATCATCATCATCATCATCATCATCATCATCATCATCATCATCATCATCATCATCATCATCATCATCATCATCATCATCATCATCATCATCATCATCATCATCATCATCATCATCATCATCATCATCATCATCATCATCATCATCATCATCATCATCATCATCATCATCATCATCATCATCATCATCATCATCATCATCATCATCATCATCATCATCATCATCATCATCATCATCATCATCATCATCATCATCATCATCATCATCATCATCATCATCATCATCATCATCATCATCATCATCATCATCATCATCATCATCATCATCATCATCATCATCATCATCATCATCATCATCATCATCATCATCATCATCATCATCATCATCATCATCATCATCATCATCATCATCATCATCATCATCATCATCATCATCATCATCATCATCATCATCATCATCATCATCATCATCATCATCATCATCATCATCATCATCATCATCATCATCATCATCATCATCATCATCATCATCATCATCATCATCATCATCATCATCATCATCATCATCATCATCATCATCATCATCATCATCATCATCATCATCATCATCATCATCATCATCATCATCATCATCATCATCATCATCATCATCATCATCATCATCATCATCATCATCATCATCATCATCATCATCATCATCATCATCATCATCATCATCATCATCATCATCATCATCATCATCATCATCATCATCATCATCATCATCATCATCATCATCATCATCATCATCATCATCATCATCATCATCATCATCATCATCATCATCATCATCATCATCATCATCATCATCATCATCATCATCATCATCATCATCATCATCATCATCATCATCATCATCATCATCATCATCATCATCATCATCATCATCATCATCATCATCATCATCATCATCATCATCATCATCATCATCATCATCATCATCATCATCATCATCATCATCATCATCATCATCATCATCATCATCATCATCATCATCATCATCATCTTCATCATCATCATCATCATCTTCATCATCATCATCATCACGATCCGATGGGTCGTCCGAAGCATCATCATCATCCGGAGTTTCTTCATCATCAGAGTCATGATTATGAGGATGATGATGATGATGATGATGATGATCATCCGAAGCACCATCATCCCCATTATCTTTACCGGAGTGATTTTTTCCTATATTTTATATGAAGATTTGTTTTTTACTTTGAATGTAATTGGTGATACTACGCATAAAATTGTGTAGTCTCTTCGTCGGTTCATATAAATAACTTTGTATCTGAATGGTTGCTCCATAAATTTATCATCACTAAACGCCGCTGAAATTCATCACTCTCCTTGAAACTTTTCATCGATATTTGATTCAGCATTGAAACAGCCCATAACAGGTAACAATCCAAAAGCTGTGTTCCTTGTAAAATCAAAATGAGGAACAACCAACAGTCTTCTAGACCTTTTGCATCAAAGGGGCATTTGAAAGGAAAACGAATAAAGCGGACAAATGACCCAAATACTGGGTTTCCCGGAGTGTTCAAAGATGGTTCATTCTTGATTGTACCTGTGCACCGTAAAACGGGACTAACGTAGTTAACCAAGAACAACAAATAATCATCCAGGTATTTCATTGAAATGTCTGTTCAGGAGACTGTCTTCGATGACATTTATTGAGCTGAGGAGTAAAAAATCTCACAGAACAACTCCAAAAAATAATCTATAGCTGGTAGTCTAATCCTCAAGCTAGAGTCAAAATGTATTTTCTTCCGTTTTAGTACAGTTCCGACTCCAGGTATTCGCGAATTGGACTCACTCGAAGCGGGTCGTTTAAAGACCCAGCAGTTTTTAAACATTGAGTAGAATCTTTGAAGAAAACAGAGTCATCTTTTTCCACGGTAAAGGTACAGGGAAGCAGAGGCAGTATTAGCAAATAAGTTCTTATGATTTATTTATTTATGAAGTGATTGATCATTAAGAACCAACCGAGGAGTCTTCAACTTTACGAGGTATCCACTGTATTCAGTTGGGCTTGGAAGATGGTTGATTTATTTTTAGTCATGTACATCATTGGTCGTCTAGCCGGGAGTATTATTTATCAAACCACAACCTCATCAACCCCTTCTTTCTTCTGCTATGATTTGATTTAGGATACGTATAATCGTACAGTATCAATGGTTTGTGCATTCCAAATGAAACGTTTATACAATACGAGAAATCCTTCTCTGACGGTTTTTCTGTAGGGCAATATCGGCACAATAATATAATGTAATGCTCAGGTTTACGTCAGTAATCAGTTTGATCTTTTACGAGAGTGGGGAAGATAGAATTCAGTCGTGGATTCAGAGCTGAAGTGATTTCATCGAATCGGAAGTTTTTAATATAACATTTCTCAATGTATTTATATCGAGCTTAATAGACATTTGATTTGGGGGAATGGGTGATCAACGGGTAGTAAATTCTCGACAGTACGGTCTGTTTAGTAGTTCCATTTTACTTATTATTCGAGGTATGAAATATCAATTTCTTGACCGAGTTAGAAAAATTAGAACTTTTTAGATAAACGACCAAAGCGTTGGTCATCCCGGAAGTTCGCAAACAAAAGATAATTCTTGTGTGCGGTCTTTTTCTTTCTGTTGCGTGGGCGTTGCAATGTCCATCATTGTCGCTGAAGCAACAAACTGGAAAGTGAAATAGTCGGGAGCTAAAAATGGACTAAGGAGAACTCGCCCCCACCTTGCATTGACCTGATCCTAAACCAAGTAGAACAAAAAAACAGTGCAAGGTTATACAATGGAATATTATTCTCAAATTCTGTCCTAACGGGTTTTAGAATCACTGTCCGTTTGATGGTTTCAATGAAAAAAATCATGTTTGGTAGATCGGGAGATAAGTTTTACAAGGGCTGACTGAAAACAACGTATGAGCTCTCAGCTTTCCCATGGAACCACTGTACAAACAGCTTGTCTATATTCATCGAATCACAACTTAAAGTGAAAACCAGCGCCCATTTTCCTTCACCCTACCTCAGTAGTTATGCTGTGCGAGTAGTCCTATCCATGACAATCACTTTTTGAGTGCTCTGCAATCAAAATAATAAGGTAATGCGCGCTGTTCGGCCTGACGTCATTAAATTGTGTCGTTTCTTTTTGGAAACGTTTGGTTTTCCTTCCGAATCACATTATGGCAAGCAAAGATCCGTTCTATCAACGTACGCCTCTCTGAAACTGCAACTGAACTGATGAATAACAAATAGAAAGGCATAATACATGACTGTTTGATCGATTTTGATACTCCAACTTTTTAACGAATACAGTATAGAAATATTTACTGATGTGTAGGTGTGCCTTAAGGCTGAATGAGAGAATTCAATTATTCCGTTAAATAAATGGCCAAGTTTAAAAAAGTAGAGCAATAAAAGCTTGTTTTTTACTGGAATACACCCATTTTCTGGTTTAAGTTTCCGGGCCCGCAGTAATGTTGGTCGCAGTTCCTCGGATACCCATCATCTTGAGAGCTCCTTCCTTTTTTTCAAATGACCGCCAGTCACTTTGGAGAGTCAATCCAGCAGATGTCATGCTGAAAGAAACGGTGACTGAGAAATACGGTAAACAACTGAGAACCGATGCTACAAGGCTGACTAACAACACGATGAGGCTGAATACCGATAAGCAAACCCATAGAAGTTGGCTGGAGTAGAACGAGAAGGATTATACCTATTTGCAATTTTTTCAGTGGACAACTGGTCGCTCCTTTCTAATCTGTTTTTTCTCGGGGAGCCATAAAACCGTCTTGAATATATCATTCCAGGTCCTTTATGAATGTGATCAGGCTATTATTTTTTGTGCAGCAGCATGAAATGACATAAGTAACACTCGGATTGCGTTCACCAAGAACTAAAAGATGAGAGTAGGCAATGTGTTTCCTTAGTTTGAACTGGTACCCACTTGTTTATAAACGAAACTTAGCCTGACACTAGCAGTTTCCAATGCACTCGCCAATCATGAATAGATCAGGATGTATATGGACGATTTCATTTTCATGTTGTGCTTTAATGTGATCGGTTAAATACTGGGGAAGAAGTTATGGCAAGCCAAGTGGCACTTGGAAGCACTCGAATCACCGTAACCCTGGACTTGACTTATTTGGCGAGCAGATCTTCTAACTGGGCCGGCCAGTAGCAGTTTTACTTCTTTAAGTTTTGCTCCCTGAATTCGGGTAGGAGGATCATCGAGCAGCTTCCCTGTTTTAGTAACGCTTTCCGGTGTTTTACTGAAGTGAAACGTACGAGTGCCGGATCGATTTACAGATGCTCCTTAAGATACTAAGTCTTGACCGTCGATTGACCGATGGTGATCGAATTGGTTGAAGCCTTCACATACCACTTCGGAGGTTAGAGGTTGGAACACAGCTACCGTCGGCCACTTTGGTAGTAAACATTATTCCACTGTCATCCTCACCCACAGAAACCTCTTGTGGTTATCCAGTCTAAGTGCCGGGATCTGGTTTCCAGCTATCCCTAAGAGAACAGAGGCCATAAAGGCTACAGAATGTACTTATTCCATTGCAAGAATGCAACACGTAATCCTATCTAGTAAAGATACCATAAGTATTCCGAAATTCGTGGTCTCGTAAACATGCCACGTCGCCGGAATCTGTGCATCCAACGGACGATCTGGGACTTCTCTACTTAACCAGTCTGTTATGCAGCTTATTTTGTCGAAGAATGCATTGCATTCCGATAATATAACAATGTTTTCCAGGAACACCTGCAAATCCGGCAAATTTTGGGATCATTTGGTATCAGAGTGCGAATCACTGGACATATCAAGTTTTTATAGCTCCATTGGAACATGGTGACGAGGTACCGTTCGAAAATTTCGAAATTCATTGCTATCTGACTCATGCTTCTCCTAAATTACACTTGAAAAATAGCTTCAAGATTATGGCACGCTCTGGAAGCTTAAGTCAAAGAGGATGTGGTTGATGTATATTCTAGAAATACCCTGGGTTATTCTAACTTTGAATGCGTCCAAAATTAGCCCTGTTTTTTGGATTTTTCACGTGGAACAAATATTGAACACTCAGCCATGTTATCGAAGAGATCCTACAATATGCCATTGCATTATCTAGCTCATTGTCACTACTCAGAAGTTTGAGCAAAGAGAAATGAGAGCGCTCTCCTATACGTTATTGTGGACACGCATAATTGAATCTTGGTAACTCCGCTTTAGCTATTGGTTTAGAGCGATTGGGGTCCGGCTGGTAACTATTTACTTTTACTATAAAACCATGGAACTGCCATGCCCTAACAGCAAACAAGTATTTTTTTAAAGCATGATCATTGAATTTTTCCGCACAAAACCCCCAGATTCTACTTCAGGTAAAGACCTCGTACTTTATTTGAACAATTCTTGATGATGGTATATATCTTTGACGCCATTTCTCGAGCGAAACCAACAGTCACCTTGTTGATGGCTTTTTAAAAAAAGTCCGATCAAAAGTGCAAACTAAAAAGTGAAAATGGGATCTTGATTTGCCTAACGGATGTGAATTGTGATGCGCGTTCCCGATTCCGTTAGCAATAGAATACGCAGTTATGGGTTTGCTAAGTTAGTCTTTGAGTGATGTTCAGTATCAAGTGTAGAATCCATCAAATATTTTGTTCCATGGCGGTCGCGGTGTACCGCTGAAGTTGTGGATTCAGAGTCAGTCTATGATCGCCACAAGTGCGTTGTATTTTCCCATCACTTTACATTACATTTAATATCTTTGACCGGTGGCGGTCGAGTGGTTTAGAGCGTTTGCTTACCACCACAGGGGTCCGAGGTTCGAATCCCCCTCCCATGACCGACTACTTTGGTAATAGACAGTAATCCACTGTCTTCAGGATCCTTACCTCAGCTGACCTATTGGGACCATATGTGGTTCATTGTCACTCTAAGTCTCAGGGCCCGATTGCCGGCTCTCCCTAATAGTGCAGTGCGCCTTCGGGGCTATTGAGAAAAAGCCCCTTCCATTGTAATAAAAAAATCTAATTTGCTCAAAGTCGAATTGACTAACGTAATTATGACGTTATACTCCCTTGTCCGCAGGGCACGCAGAACTTCTCAACATTATTCAAAAGGCAGCGGTTTTTGCTGGAAAAAAATCAGATCACCGCTGATCTCCAACTTCACTGGCTCCGCTTTCATTTTGCCAATAATACTGGAGCAACGTGCGATTCTTTTTTCTGAAGAGAAAAGCGATCCTGGGGAGCGGCTGATGCTGCGTACAATAAAAGCGAATGAATCATGCCCCAATTTGAAAAAATAGGATGGATGAAATTTAAACCAGAATCAGGAAAAAGAATGGGATGGATGTTTTTTGTTTGAACTGTATTATTAGCGTCTTCCGGCACATTATCGTAAGACGATGACTGTTTTCTTCGTGAGTCTCTACGCCAGTCGGTCCTATGAGTGTATAGGGCCAAATCAAGTTCGAAACATTGTCTCTTATAATGGACTCATAGTCTTATTTTTCCAAAAAGAACCCATATTACAAACCATATGGAAATAAGAGTTCTTCTTCCTCATATTTATCGTGGTTGGTTTCCTCAGTTTGATTTGTTCGAGCCATTTGCGACATGCTCCATTCGTATCCTTTGAGTACCTTACACACAAGACTAGTTTTCCTACGTGGGTGATATGAAGCTTGGCGAAACCAACTCATTAGATGCAAGTGAAAATCACTCCAATGAGGTCCATCTATATGTTTAGGGAATACTGCGAGTTGATTTTATTGACTAGGACTTGGTGACCACGGTGCGACTACACTGATTTGTACTGTTTTGTTGCTGTTGAAACCGGACTGCAGTGTTGGGCAAAAGTGGTCTAACGTGTGTTCTATTCACCGCAAGATTCAAGCTTTTTTGCTCCGTAAATCTCAGCTACAGGCTGACGCTGCTGGTTTCGTACAATCAATCGACCACGTAGCTAGTCGTCTAATCAGTCCCTTATAATAGCAACGCTGAACTCAGTGATTTAGCTGGAGGATTAAATCGCAAGGAAATATTTCCTGTCCTCGCAAAAACGAATAAAGTTTCGTGCATCCGGTTGTCTATGGACGCTTTGGCAGAATATGGTTTATCAGAAATTCCTTCAAATTCTCGAAAGGAAAATTTGCAGGTGCATTTGAGAACTCTAAACTTGTCAACATCGAGTAAACTTCACGTCCTCCGGTAGTCAAAAATAGGGATGGTTGATCTTGTTCCGTCTATTTTCCGAAGACTGCACCATAAATCAAAAATCGTCTCAACTAGCAGCACGAAGTGAGGACTCTTCTGTCATTCTCTTCATTTCTTTGAGCGTAGTTTTGTCTCCTATTCTGTTGCAACTCAGAAAATTTATTATGAGAAAGATGAAAGTATATTCAGTGACACGCATTGCTCAAGTGGTAGATGAACGTGGTCAACAGCTGCCTGAACAGTTAAAAATATCTGAAGTGGACCACTAGGTACGAAATACGGAGGATAATCTGTGATTCATAGAGTAATGTCCGGGGTTGCAACATTGGAATTCTTTCAAACGAAGCCAAAACGTACACACTCTGATCACTGCAAACAAATGACCTCGGCACCATCTGTTCGAATCTTGCGATAGACGGTCATCTTCCCATTCTGACGCATCGTGTTGTCCACAGTACTTTACAGAAAGTACCATAATTTGTTGTCTATTAAGCCTAGGAGGGAAAAAGGTCATGTTGTTTGTTATGTTGGAACTGGAAATATGAGAAACTATATAATGGGAAATAGTGAAAATAAAGGAACAATTATTGTGATAATGAGTGACAATAAAGCCGGTAGTGACCAAAAGTCTTCTTTCGGTGTAAAGAATCACAGTAGTAAATCTGTAATAATCATCACGACACTAATGTCCGAAAGGAAATTTCGACGCATAATATAACACTGAAAGAGCTTCGTATGAAGAGTCAAGTACACTAATGCAACAAATGCAAGTTCAAACCAATTAAAAAGACTGCCCGTACAAGAGGGCTTCAAAATAAACAGGTTCCAAGAAGATGTGTACAGAAACCTTTTTTGAATAGCTACTTCAGGAACTCAAGTAGAACGAATTTTCAATGTGTATGCTTGTAGTCAAGACCGTGGGCCATAAGCTGCAAGGGATTGTTTCAGATTTACCTCATTCTCGGAGGATTTTCAGATAAAATCAAATCCATCAGGATCATTTATTTGAGATTTATTGAATACTAACAGGTACAAGCAAGCTGAACTCGAATTAAAATGTATATGACCAGGGTGGTGATTTTGGTTGTGGATCAGTATAGAATAAGCAATTACTCAAATTTAGAAAAGAAAGTTTAGGAAATGCAGGCAATTGTAGCTGTTGTATTCTGTATGCAGTGCCTCTCCTAGGGTTTGCACGTCGTAGACCTGAAAGGACACAGAAATAGAAAAAAACTCTTTTAACCACAGCTCAGTAAATATGTCAGCAGTTATCAGTATTTATATCACATAAGGCGGGTATGGCTATCTATATCACAGGGCTGCAGAGGCTCAGACGTCTTAGGTTCTCTAATCAGTAGTAGTCGATTATCCAATACATTGCGAGTGTAGACTTTGACCGCAGGACCCAAATCTTCTACATAATAAATCAGCCATCACCGGTGCCCAGGTGATCTCACGTCGACAAGATCTAATAAAAAGCGCCTAATTGAGATAGTAACATCATGAGCGTGCAAAATTATTCGAACGAAACGAAGGTTGTTGGCAAACTTGAAGCAGTGCACCGCTGATCATTTATCTTTCGAAAACCCTGATCCATATGAGACAATTCTTATCTTTAATTTCTGAATATTCCAACAATGAAGTTTTATTTGACGTGGTTATTGCAGGTGTTATTAAATTGTATTACATTTCAACAGTTCACTTCAAGTGATGGCTTTTTTAAATTCTTTTTTATGCCGAATTCGTAGCTGCATCAAAGCTCTTTTCATTGCAGAAAAAGATGGATCCCGTTGTCAGATATAACATATCATTATCAGCAACAGCTTAAAAAGTTCGAACAACATGATTCGTCACGTCCGATCAACCCCCAAAAATCGCAGAAGCATGGAACCCTTTTCAGCTTGTTTGGAAATCATCGGATGTGCATATACACTGAGATTTTACGTGAACTAGATCCCGGGATCAAAAACTGTGTGTCGAACACCCAACCACCATGCTAGTCAAGCTATGGTGTGTGACCTATATGTTAAAGGAATCGTTGGTTAGGTTTTCGAACAATTGTTCTTCGTTCCGGGACTCGGGTAACAGCGAGTGGACTCGATGGACGTGTACATTTTGTGATTCCCCATCCCCAAGAAACAGCGGCCCAGTGCTTTCAGTGTTCTCAGTTGAGCTGAGCTTCGGTATTAAGTGATGAATAGTGGTGGGCAATAACTGTTTAGAATATTCAGCAGTCGTTGAATTTGCAAAAGCCATAGTTTGTTGCTTGTCTATCATTGCGCGTCGCCTCAATGTTATCCAAAATCGGTATCAGTAGATAGCTTAACATTTCATTTGCGTGATTACCGTCAGTGGTGGTCAAAAGGTCAACATAAAGATCCTTGAAACTGAGAGTCTGGAGTTTGAATCCTGTCAGTACCAGGAACGTCCACATTCACCACTCTATGAAAGGCCGCGATGGCTTTCCTAAAATCTTGTGCCTTTAATTTGGGAAAAACAAAAAGAGTTGGAAAACATTTATTCTAACAAAAAAATCAAATACTGCAGATTTCGTTTTAACAGACTTGATTTGCGTATTGAAATTACAAGATGACAACTGAGGTGCATCTTTAGCAAATCCTGCGATAACCATGTTAAATAACCAGGGTTATTAGTATTTGAATAAAACACCGTGATGACATGATATTCCGTGATGACAAACGATTGCAAGTACACATGAAAGTCTGACGAATTGAGAACCGATAAATATCAGCCATGAATTCTGGAAACTGCAAGTTGTAGACAGTATGACGCGCCACTGACGAAGCAACGCAACTGACCATTGTGAGCCTTTGATTGTCTAGCAACATGGTGTGCAAAACACATACAGTGAAATTAAATATGCAAAAAGGAAACCTTAATAAGATGTTGTTCAACTGGAAAGACGGGATTGGGGCAATTAGGGCTTTATCAACCATTGTGACATAAAAGCCGAGTACATACAACAAAAACAGGATAAGTGCAAATGGTTATGTTCAAGTTTTATGCTCTAATTAGTGTATGTCAACGATAAGGATGTTAAAATAGTGGTAAGCTAGTATTATTCAACAGTACTCGATACGTTGCAATATAGTGATAACGGTAAAGATCCTAATAGATTAAACATACTTCACACCGATCAGCTTTTCGTTTCCTACTACAAACAGAACTCAGGCACACGTGTACTCACTTCTGTTTCTCATCTCGGACTCGACTGGAGAAATCCCAATGCAAACTGCGGGGAGTGAAATAACCCGGTATGCTGCACTGAAACCATTGGACCCTTCCGAATCTTATGAGGACTGCTCGAAGTGATCCTCACCGAAATCGCCACCCACAGAAAACAAAGTCCCTAAACAGTTTTTTTTCCCGTACCCCACTGTTTAGTACAGCTTGTAGAGCGATCGAGGTAGATAACAGAAGGTTATTTAGTGGGTCGTTGGTTAGCAATAGGTCTGGGCGCCTCGAGGAAGATGCAGAAAGAACAGAGATAAAAATAGAACAGTTAGAAATTAGACAAAGACAGCTGTTTCTGTAAGGAGAAGTGGAGAGGACGAAAATCAAGCAAAGTCAACTCTGGTTAAAAAAGAACAGTCTTTCTAAGCACTTACAGTCAAGTGATGCCGGCTCGACCGCAGAAGCTAGGCCAGACCTGGCGTACGAAGACCAGCTGGACTCGGTTAGAAGGTACAAGGAAAAGTGTCAGATAACAGCTGATCGCAGTGCATTGGCAATGCGGATAGAAGATTGAACTTTCAACGATTGCCGCTTATTTACATGGAGACGTTTGACGGCGCTCCTAAGCGATTATGGAAGTTCCTTAACAGCTTTCGTGCTGATACGGCTAGAAACTTAGACGACGGTAGGGAAAGATTGAGTTATCTTATTCATCACTGCGTTGGTGAAGCCAAGGAAGCCATAGAAGACTGTGTGATGTTATCCGCAGCAGAAGGATACGCGAGAGCAATACACATATTGGTAACAAAATTTGGAATTCCTTATGAAGTCGAGGAAAGCTTTTTGGATGAATCGCTAAATGGTAAAAGAATCATGTCAGGTGATGTAAGCAGTCTCAGAAGGCTCGTACGTCAAGTGATCAGGAGCAAATTGTCTGTCGCAAAGGGTCTATAAATCCAGCCTGAACTGTTCAACTGCTATCAAGCGGATCATTCGAAGCCTCCTGAAGTCCACACAATAAAAACAGGTAAATGCAGTATTAAAATAGAAGAGAATTCTTGATGCTCCTGTTTCGCCATTGGGTCACGTTTTGTAGGAATGTCTGTCGTATAAATATTGCTACGGACCAGGAGCCATCATCGCCGAAGCAGCTCAGTTTAGACGGGATGAAGACACGCAGCGGTATCACGATGGGAGG